TCGGGTGGGAGGGGTGCGTTACCATTACTTAGGTTTCCATTCTTTCTGTTGCAAACTGATTATGGCTTGTAATATTACTCAATCTAAATTGTATGTACATTGTGTACGTGACTAATTTTCCATCAGTTATGCGTTTTTAAAATATATACACCTAATTAGTTTTATGACTTGTGTTTGAATATTTATTCTCTTCAGCTACATGTAAATGTCCCCCTATCCCCCACCCCACCTTATGACTTATTTACATAATGATTTATAGTTTGCTTATTATTTTATGATTATATGAATATTCAATAAATAAAACAAATGCACGCATAGCATTTCAGTAGTTGAGCATGATAGTCTATCAAATACTGATATTCTACACCAACATTATTTTATGCAGTATTATACTTATTATTATGCTTAGTAGCTTCACTACATGTATGCTTAGTATTGAAAGATGCTCATTCGTCAGAATGAATCAACTGCCATCGATATTCTTTGACATCTGGTCTATTTTGTATCATTGGATTTCTATTTCTTGTTACTATGACGTTATATTGTTATACTATATTGAGCAGACCTGTGGGAATCAATCCACTTGATTTTGTTCCATTATGCTGGACTAAGTCTAAACCCTCATTCAAATTACTGTCTGTGGTACTTAGAGAATGAATTTGCAAACTCACTGAGTATGTTGACTTACTGTACTATTTGCTTGTAATCTTTCATATTTATTATATTATTAGATTGTTGTTTATGTCCGAAAAAAAACATATATACTTTATATAGATTTAGAAGCTGAACACAATTCTTTAGCCGGCAAGTCGTTCCCTAATGGCATATTGACATTATTATTCGTGAATATTGCACTTAAATTCCAGATACTCTGTCGGGGATCACAACTTGGAACAACCTTGACCGGTTGCCCCTTCTATTCGTCATGTGTTTTAGAAAGATCAATGCTTTTTTAGCTCCGCTGTCGACTTTGTCGAGCGGAGCTTATCATATGAGTAATTGTCCTCCGTCGTCCGTGTCAATGTTTTACTTATTCAACTTCTTCTTGAAAACTACAAGCCTGAATGCTTTGATACTTGGTGTATATGTACCTTGGGTAGACCTCTCTCAGATTTGTTCATTTCATGGTGATATTCTCTAATTTTGATGAATATTTTTGTAATTTTAGGTAAAAAGCAATATTTTCGACTTCTTGTTAAAAACACAATGAACCATTCCACCACCTACAACTAGGTTCAAGCTATCCAATGAATATGATAAGCTTCGCTCGTCAAAGTCGACACCGGAGCTAAAAATAGTAGTTGTTGCCACAGTCCCTCTATCCCTGATTTGGAAACGCTTGGCAGTCTATTTTCCCAAGGCTGGTTGCGAGAAAATAAACCATTCACATCTTGGACAATTAGCCGCGATGCTGAGCGTACACTAACTTTAGCACTGTGATTACAAACTGCAAACAGAACAGAACATATTACCGTGGGTTATCAAAATACGAACATCCAAGAAAAAAACTAACCACATCACCAAAAAATAAATGTACATATCTATTCACATTGAAAAAAAATATTTGAATTGCTTTGAATTGGCGAGGGACCATCTTTATTTTGAACGGAAAAGTGATGCCTAAATACAATGCATATACTGTATATAATATAATAAAACAAAAGTCCACTTGCTTTTATATTACATATATAGGTACTACATGTGGTCCTCTCTCAGATTTGTTCATTTCATGATGATATCTTTAATTCTCTAATTTTGATGAATATTTTTGTAATTTTTGGTAAAAAGTGATATTTTCGACTTGTCAAAAACCACAAGTCCGATTGCTTTTATATTACATATATATGTACTACATGTGGACCTCTTTCAGTTTTGTTAATTTCATGGTGATATCTTCAATTATCTAATTTTGATGATTATTTTTGTCATTTTTGGTGAAAAGTGATATTTTTGAATTCTTGTTAAAAACAGCAAGTCTACATATTGTTCATTTTCTAATTATATCTTTTGTTCTTTAATTGAAATGTGCATTGGTAACAGCGGAGCTATCTCAGCCGACAGGCTGCTTGTTTTCAAAAAGTGTTGTAGTTATCGAATTGGACACATGTCATTAACCTTTCTGGATTTTGTTGAAAAAGAACTTGCCAGTAATGTTGAGGTTGTTCAGTACAATTTTCTGAATGTAGATGGTGTTTATGAAGTTGACACACAGAAGTATCACCAATGTGTTAGCACAGGGCAAACTACTGAAACTCTTTACAATTAGTTCCTTACTCTTCTTTTTTTTATTTTTAAAACAAAACATATAGTTCCAGACACATTGTTTTGTTATCTAATATACTCCTATATTAGATTGTCTATGGTGAGTTTCAAAGAAATTCTTTAATGAATGGATCATATTTCACTACCCCCCCCCCCCACTCCATACAGTTCAATATATTACCTCCATACTGTAAAATGATTAATTTTCACTGGGTTTAAGTTTCTCTGATTTTCCATTTCAGGTATATTCTGTGGGTTTTAAATTTACAGTTTTATCATTTAGATAACGTGTTCTATGCTAAATTTTACATATTCACTGGGTTTTAATTTAGCGCATTTTCCAGTCAGCAAAATAAGCAAAATTAAAACCCAGTGAATAATTAACCCTTTTTCAATATTCCAAATACAGTACAAGCACATTTATCTTGAAGAGATGGTCCGTGACCCCAATTGTTTTTCACATATTATTTTGTATATCAATGAAGCAATCTATGCATAAAATCTAAAATTATTCCAGACTTTGATAATAAAATGAATCAACCTTAAAGCATTATCCAAAAAAATTCCAATAATTCATAACAATTTTGAGGTGAATTTAGATTCATTTTGATTCTATGGATTGTTTTGTTTTTTATCAACAATACCGGTAAACTTTTTAAATGTTTTCGCCATATGAACTATTTTAACATAAAAAAATTTGTAATGCCTTACAATCATCATTTCGAATTTTTTGTCTCGTGTGAAAAGTAATTTAGTAATGATATAATTTTTTGGGGTTTTGTCAACAGCATGGAAAAAAAACCATTGCAAAATTCAAAGAAATCTGATCATTTTTATTATTGGTAGCCAAATACCCTTTGCTAATAATGTGAACTTACACAAAATTCTTATCTAGCATTAGAAAGAGAGAGACATAGTAATGATAAATAATATGATGGACTTTCATAGCCCTGCCATCCTCTTATTTACAGATTTAGTGGTCTGAGCTTACTGCTGTTTGCTTGCATACACACATAGATGTTAAGCTAAAACACAGACACACTGGCTGCAGCTGAGCAATTTACTGTCAAAACCAAATGGTATAAATCACACTCATGGTGAAATATGATTGAAACTGTAATTTATATAGTAATGCAGTAATCTGTAAATGTAATAAGGTTATAA